GGAACTGATGCTAATAGCTTTGAAAATTTTTGTCATCAGTAAAATACACATTGACACTTTCTGTCGAATTTTCCATTAAAATACGACATACATAATACCATTTTTAGTAAAAGATTTTTAACTTAGATATATTTCTATAGAAAATCGACGTACATAATACGATTTTGAAAATTCGAGAGAAAATCGACGTGACTTCGACATACATAATAAGGGTTATTATACCCTATTTTCTAGTCGATGTCATTAGAGACTTACCACGTTCGCTTCCAAATAAGGAGTTAAATAAGTGCTTACCACGGTCGCTTACAAAGAGGTTGTTAAGAAAGTAGTTTTGTTTTTGAGAAATAAAAAGAGCCAGAGAGAATACGAACCAGGGACTGTTATACTCACTGCACTACTGCTTAGCTATTTTATTGGGTGTCATATAATGGTTTTTATATACAAATACAATTCTGTTTTCTCTTTGTGCAAAAAACACTTGTTAAGTAGCAACAGTGTTACCATTGGTCAAGTTTTCTCTTTTTTTGCAAGTTTTTTGAGATTTGAAAATTTTTTCAAGTTTTATTCTAATAAAAAAAGTTGTTTAAAAACTTTTACAGTTTTTTTCAATAAATAAGTTAAAAAAAAACTATTTTTATTATTAAATAATATTTTATACTGCTGCACTATGCTAGTAAGTAATATTACATTAATATGCGAGATATTCTTAAAAACGGATTTTTGTAAACATTGACCGGTGTTGATGACTTTTAATCCCTTAGATTAGACATTTAACATTTTGTGCAATCCATTGATATGCATGAAGATAACTGGATTAATCGGTGAGAGGATGAAGACATCCTCTGGGTCTACTAAGACCGAAAAATCTTCGCTTTTCGAGTCACCAAAGTAAATTTACAGAGTAGGAGTTAAGGAGAAGCTCTGTACCTATTTTCTTTAAGCTATTTAAAATTCCTTAATTTAATGATTTTGGACTTATTTTTGTAGAGTATTTTGTAATATTACTGCTGGTTTTTCTAAATGCGAAAGAACATTTTCGTTCTTACAAATATATTGAAAACAACAAATAAATTTAAAATTTTCTTTCGTTATTGTGAAACAGGCAGTTAGTAATTAAAAAAGTTTTATTTCTATTTGAAAACAAGTCTTTTTCTTGGATATAAAAAGTTTTCTTCAAAAACTATATGGGCAATTCCATGAAAAGGTAAACCATGACTGAAAAAATAAAACCCTTATAACTTCTGCATTTTTAAAGATAATTCAACAAAATTTGGTATATGATCTTTTGTATCACCAAAGACGAAGACTGTTGAACATTTTTGAAATCGGTCTATTTTACACCTCGCCGCCATACAAACCGTACCGAAAATATCACTTTTTAGCTCATAATTCTGTTAATTATAATACTATCCCTTCAAAAATTGGCAGATCTAAAATGTTTATAAGCCTAAACTTTTATGCCGATTTTTATAACGATTGGACCTCATTTGACCCTAGTTCCATTCAAAGTTTAATTTCAGAAAAACACTTAAACGTTCGTAACTCACCTCTAATCACTAGTATTATGATAAAATTAAGCACAAATAAGTTTTATATGAATTAAAATTTTATGAGGATCGGTTATTTCCAAAATATATATTTTAAAACCTAAAAAAATATCAGGAGAAAAATCTGTCACATACGATGTGTCACTCGTTCATTATAAAATTATATTAATTTCTTTTCTTATTTAAAAAACACGGATTACTAATGAAAAATACGTCCCATAGTGTAAGAAATTAAAACAAAAAAGATACACCTACAGAATTCGCAGATTTTCGTAAATATTTACATGTACTTTAAAAACACTTCCGTTTTTTGTCGCGTATGATATCGCCATATTTTAATCCATATTTTGGAAAACAAGGTTCCGAATGGGATGATTCCTTTTGCAAATATAGTATTCTTTAAATGGAACAGAATGACAAAATTGTTTTCCAACTACTCCTAACTTTACAAAATCTATACCACTCTGAAGGCGTGCGAATGTCACATACAATCGTATGGAATTGCCCATATGGCAACACCGAATATCAATCAAATAAATGAGTAACAAACTTTATTACACATGCTAGCTTATCGCTAAAAAATAAAATTGTTTAAATTTGTTGTATGTATGTATAAAGATGTTTAAATTTGTTGTTTGAAAAATATTGTTGTTGTTTATAAGAAATAAAAATTTAATAAAAAATAAAGAATTTTAATATATTAATTATTCCGTTTTTACATCCTACACCACTATAGTGGGGAGGGTATTATACGTTTGTGCTGATGATTGTAACGCATACAAACCTTAAAGTATACCGATCGACTCAAAATTACTTTATGAGTCGATTAAGACATGTCCGTCCGGCTGTCCATGTAAATCTTGTGCGCAAGTTACAGGCCACAATTTTCAAGATATTTGGATAAAATTTGGACCATACGAGGTTTTCGGCCCAAGGACGATGCCTATTGAAAATGGGTGAAATCGGTCCACTCAACCGGCCCCCAAATAAATGAGTAACAAACTTTATTACACATGCTGCTTATCGCTAAAAAATAAAATTGTTTAAATTTGTTGTATGTATGTATAAAGATGTTTAAATTTGTTGTTGAAAAAATATTCTTGTAAACAAGAAATAAAAATTTAATAAAAAATAAAGAATTTTAATTTAATTATTCTTTTTTATATCCTACACCACTATAGTGGGGAGGGTATTATACGTTTGTGCTGATGTTTGTAAAGCATACAAACCTTAAAGTATACCGATCGACTCAGAATTACTTTATGAGTCTATTAAGACATGTCCGTCCGTCCGGCTGTCCATGTAAACCTTGTGCGCAAGTTAGAGGCCACAATTTTCAAGATATTTGGATAAAATTTGGACCATACGAGTTTTTCGGCACATGGACGATGCCTATTGAAAATGGGTCCATTCAACCAGCCCCCATACAACCTGACTTTTCGATTTTGGATTTTTAACTCATAACTATATTCAATTGAATGATCATTCATATTTGTTCAATTCCTTCTATTACAAATTGAATGAAAGAAAAAAAAATTAATTCAATTTTTAATATACAGAATGCTTTTGAATTATAAAACAAAACTTTCATTCAATCTATATCAAATTGAATGGTTGAAAATTTTTAAATTCAATTTGTAATAGATTGAATTCAAACAAAATTTATATCATTCAGAGGGAATTTAAAAATCAATAGGAATTGTTGAAATTTATTTTAATTCAATTTGTAACAGATTGAATGCAAACAAAATTAATTCATTCAGAAGGAATTTAACATTCTATATGAATTAATTCATTAGAGAATTAATTCAACTGCATCAAAAGCTTTAAGAATTAATTTTAGGAATTAAATCAAAGGGAATGAGTTTGAAGAATTGTTAATTCTTTAAAATATAACTCAATTTCAAAAAAAGAATTAGGGAATGAATTCTTTTAGAGCATACATACATACATACATACATACATACATACATACATACATACATACATACATACATACATACATACATACATACATACATACATACATACATACATACATACATACATACATACATACATACATACATACATACATACATACATACATACATACATACATACATACATACATACATACATAAAAATCTTGTGCGCAAGATACTAGTATCTCTCCAAAAATCGGCTCAACTATGTTGTTTTTTTTTTGTAATAATCGGCCCATATTTGACCCTAGCGCCCATGCAAACTCCCCTTTAAAAAGTGTCTTAAACGTCCAAAATTGGCTTACAACCATTAGTATCGCAATAAAATTCAGCCTAACTAACTTTTATATAAAAATATATCCCTCCTCCAAATTTTATGAGGATTGACCCATATGGTCGCCCATGCCCGACTATACTTTCCTACTTGTTTGTATTCAGGAGAACAAAAAAGGTGTTTTATTTTGTAATTTCGCGAATTACATTTGAAGTTATACGTTTTGTGCGAACCTAAGACCATTTGCTACAAGAGTGTTGTAAATATATTCCAGAATGATTCGCCATTTCTGATCTAAAATTAGATATTTAATAAAGTGATTTTCTTTCAAGCATTTTGGAGCAAAATACATATTTTAAATTTGAAATATGACTATTTTTTTCGGAGCAACGACGAAATAAAAATTTTATTAATTCAGAATCTTTTTGAAAATGTGTGGTATTGGTTTTTTATACTCGGTTAAGCGTCTCCTAGAAATGCCCATTTTTCGGTAAACCAATTTTGATTTTCGGTTAACCAAACATGATTTTTGTTATGGCAAATAATATTGAAGGAAATAAAAAAAAGACGCTCTAAAGATACAACTTTAAAGATATACATATAAAAAAACAAAATGTAATTTTTTTAGAGGTCACGTCACTTTGGTCAAATATTTGATAGGTGTGAACGTTTGTTTTTCTAACTTATCGAAAACATTCGTAGTCTTTTAAGATGGTATTAACTAATGCCACTGTAATAATGTGCAAATAAGATAGTGCTTCATTTTCTAGTTTGGGAGTAAAAACGTAAAGATTAGGATTTTCGTAGGATTTGAACCAGGGAAACTAAAATAAGCAAATGCATTTTTTATGGTGCGTCGTATGGGCTCATGGACAATATACATATTTACACGGTTCAGAACAATTTAATAATTTTGGCATCGATTTGTTAGCGAATATTTTTGCATATTTTACTGCAATGCTTTGATTTTAATAGCATATTTCGGCTTTTTACTACTGTTACTTATAATTTTAAAATTTTTTCCAAAAATTTGTAAGTCCGACAACAATTAAAAATCCGTTTTTGGAGGATAACTTCCGATATTCGAGATATATTAAAAATTCTAAATACTCAACAAGATTTATAAACCACATTTGGCCATATGTTAAGTAATTTTTGCTTGTCGCACAGTGTAATATATTATTTATTAATTTTTCTTTACATTCAGTAAATACATATAGGTACATATTATTAGTTAAAACAAATTAAAACTTTAAAAATACCACAATTATTAAAACAATTTATACGAAAATAACTTAATGCCAAACATAACGCAAAATAAACGCCACAATAATTGTAGCAAAACCGGCCATCACATCTACACCAACACGGCCGGCTGGATTGCAACCGTTATCTCTACACTGTTTACAGTCATGTTTCTTTGTGATTGATGAAATGTAAGGCGACAAAGGTAGTGTGCAACTATCTAAATAGGAATAAACGCAACTCTTGTAATAATATTCGCCATTAGCTGGAATAAAAAGAGTATAATGATATTTAGTAAATTTGCTAATATTTCCTATTAACGTCTAGTTAACTTACTAGTTTGGATGTTTTCTCTGAAACATTCATAGAAGTGTGAAGTAGCATTTGGATTTACACCAGTGTGAAATTTTTGCAAATAAGAACGAGTATTATTTGCCAAACTGGGATTACATTCATTTAATTGGGCATGTTTACAGTTCTCTTTATTATCACAAACGTAACATTTGAGGGAGTAGCCTGTAAGAAAAAATAATTCATTTTTTGGATTAGTAAAAAAACGTAAGGGATTAAGTACTTAGAGCTATTTCATCTTATTAGTTATTGACTTCACATACTTTATATTTAAAGTTATAAGTTAAACTCTAGCCACAGATTTTAGCTAAAGTTTAAACAACTGTTTTAATCACTTACCAAATAACATCTTATATGCTATATAATTATATACCTTAATCAACAAAAATTGTTTTTCGCTGTATTTTGTAGGAAAATTTTAAATTCAGAATTTTTTGTGAACTATTTTTTTATTTGGTTTATAAAAAATTTCTAATGAAAAATTAAATAAGTTCGATTTATCCCAGGAAAAACATACATTGAAAAGTAATGAGTTAAAAAGCTAATAAAACCTCTTTTAACTGCTTCTTCATTAGCTTTTTAAGTCATTATTTTAACACGGTGATGTCATTGGAGGCAAGTACTTCCACGCTCGCTTACAAATAAGGAGTTAAAGAAGTACTTACAATATCTCTTACAAAACAGTTGTTGAGTAAGTTGTTTTGTTTTTTAATAATAAAAAGAGCCAGCTAGAATACGAACCAGAGACTTCGGTTTGTTAGTCAAATGTTCTACCCACTGCACCACTGCTTAGTTATTTTATTGCGCATCAAATAATGGTTTTCACATACAAATATTATTTTTAATCTTTTTTGTAAAACACAATTCTTAAAATAAAGTACTTCTATATCAGAGTATAAGAAAGTCATTACTAGAGTACTTCTAAGTAATGAAGATGGTAAGTAGTAATCATTAAAAAGTAAGTGGTTGTGGAAGTACAACCCATAACGGAATTTTTGCTGGGATGTTGGCCAACTGCGGATTGCATTCTTTAAGTGAGGGTCTTTTGAAAGAATTTTTTTATCATAGATATAACATTTAATTGAAAATGCTAGTGTTTGTATGTTAAATTTTGCTTAAATTAATGTGGCCAACACCAAAACTCAACATTTGAAACGGACTTCGTCGAAAGTTATAGTCCAAAACAAAAACAGGATGTAATCTAGATCAGAAAAACGACTTAAGCAATATTAGTACTTTTATATATAAAAAAAAAACTATGTATTTGAATGTAACGGAAACCCAAGATTCTTTACACTTGTCACATAATTTAAATATGCTCTAAAAATAAAAGTTTTACTGATTTTTTTTACCATAGAAAAGCTCAAAAGGTGCTGAAAATTTTGTTCTAAAATAAACAATATTGCATACATATATTTGTAAATACAGTGGTTTCCCGGTTTAACGAAAGGTATAATGTCAGACCCATTCGTAAAAACGAAAAATTCGTTAAACCGAATAACAACTTTTCTATGATTTAATGGTAAAAATAGGGTAATGGAAGGAAGGAAGTCAATTTTTTAAATCTTTTTGAATACACACATAAAGTTTTTGACAATTTCCTTGCATTTTTAAAAATTTAGAATAAAAACAAAATTAAAGATTTTATGAAAAATTTGATTAAAATTATGTAAAAAACTATATATTTTGTTTAATGAAGGTAAAATGAATTCTTTTCTTATAAAAAAAACAAATTAGGGATTTGATCCCCATTTTAATCAATGTGAATTCTAAGTATTTTATGGTAATTTTCATTACAAACAATTCCATTTCTCACTTTATTAGTAAAATAATAATAATATTCCCTTAAATAAAGAATTTTATATTGAAATGTATGTCTACTTAATAAATCTTATTTATATTTCCGAAAATAATTTTTTAAATGTTATTTTCATTTCTATTCCAGGATTTTTGTATTTTTAAATTTTGCTTTTGATTAATAATGAAGTTTAGTGATCTCTCCGTATTATTTTTTATAGAAATTTTTTTTGAAATTCGTTATATCGAGTACAAAATTTACTCATTAATTTTTGAAATATTTAAACTAAAACTATTCGAAAACGACAAAATCGTTAGGAAAAATAAATAAATAAATAATAATCTCTAAATCAAAATAAGAAAACTATTTGTTGTTTCAAAATTTGAATTCATTTGTGTGCGACTCCTAGACCACACTACTATCTACTGTACTACTAAATACTAAATGCATTTACTTGCATTTACTTTAGACTCTAGCTATTCTAGTTTCATTGATATTTGACTATTATAAATTTCGTCAATGGCAATATCAATATACCCCTTTTCATGGGATCAACATTGTTCTTAACTTTTCTTTTAAATAATATTTCTTGTTTTTAAGAATTTTTCATCTAATACCACGATTGAAACACAAATATCACGCAATTCTTAAAACTTTAAATTATTTATCGTCAAATGTTTTCTAAAGAATAATTTGTTTTCTTTCATTTTTTAATTAAAACAAAAATAACATACTTAGCGAAATACAGCAGAAAGCTATTAAAGCTACACCAAAAATTATTTGCTTTGAATTCATTTTTTTTCGTATTATTTTTCACAGAACTTAACTTGGCACTTGCTCGTTGTAACAATACTGTTTGTTTCGAAAAATAATTCAAGATTATATACAAAATGAATTTTAGGTTAATATTGAATACTTTATGATAAATAATATTGCAATACATGAAACAAAGAATAAAGATAATGCATTGAGCGGGTCCGTTATGCCTTTGTCATGTGTGTGACGTCACAGTAGTACCAAAAATCAAATTTTAACAAAATTATCGTAGGTATATCAAATACACGTGTTTCCCTATTTATACTGATGTAATTACAATTATATCGATGTAAAGTTATTCTAAAATTAACCATATTTTGGAAAGGGGTTAAAAACCCAGAAAAAAATAAATTTGAAAAGAAATGAGTTAAAAAGCTAATAAAAATACCTTTCACCAATTAACCGCCGATTCCATTGGAGGCAAGAACTTACCACGTTTGCTTACAAATAGGGAGTTAAATAATTACTTACCACGCTCGCGTACAAAAATAAAACCCAGGAAAAACTAAAATTGAAAAGAAATGAGTTAAAAAGCTAATAAAAATACCTTTCAGCAATTAACCGCCGATTCCATTGGAGGCAAGAACTTACCACGTTTGCTTACAAATAGGGAGTTAAATAATTACTTACCACGCTCGCGTACAAAAAAACAGTATCTTTGTTCTTGAACAATAAAAAGAGCCAGAGAGAATACAAACTAGGGACTGTTATACTCATTGTACCACTGCTACGCTATTTTATTGCGCGTCAAATAATGTTTTTTACATGCAAATATAATTTTGTTTCTCTTTGTGTTAAAAATATTTGTTAAGTCGCGATCAAAATGCGTAAAAATAATGATTATATTACTTAGCTTATCGCTACAAAACAAAATTGTGATAATTTTTTTTTTTAAATATTGTTGATGTTTTTAAGAAATATACAATTTACGCAACAACCCAAGAAAAACTTTACTTACCCGGTAACCAGACAAAATGTCGTAAACACTTAAAGGAAGGTAAGTGGAAATTTACTTTTTTCAATACTATTAATCAATACTACTTAATATTGTTATTGAATCAGTTATGCTAAAGGTAAAAGTAGTCCTACACCCACCTTAAAGTATACCGATCGACTCAGAATCACTTCGATTCTGAGTCGATTAACCCATGTCCGTCCGTCTGTCCGGCTGACCATGTAAACCTTGTGCGCAAGGTACAGGTCGCAATTTTCAAGATATTTTGATGAAATTTGGACCATACGTGTTTTTCGGCCCAACATTGAAAATGGTTGAAATCGGTCAATTATTTCACCTAGCCCCAATACAACCCTACCCCCCGAAAAGGGCTTTTGAGTTCATAATTATGTTAAATATTGTAGTATCTCTACAAAAATCGGCAAAACGTAGTTCTATATACGTCTTAATAATACTACCGATTTTTGTAATTATCGGACTTTATTTGACCCTAGCCCCCATACAAAGTCCCCTTCAGAAAATGACTTGAAGGTCAATAATTCACTAATAAACACTAGTATCACGATGAAATCCAGCATACATAACTCTAATGTAAACGTAAAGCCATGTACCAAAATTTATAAGGATAGGCCCAATATTTACTCTTGCCCCCATATAACCCCTCTTTTAGAAAATCACTCTTTTCAACAAATTGTTAAAATATTTCGGAATTAAGGTAAACAACTTAAAAGCTTTGTTATTAAAAATAATCCACACTTTTAAAATACTCTATATTACTGAGAATCAATCATAGCACCAAGATACGATCAGTTGTTACTTGAAGTTCACAAAGCATTTCTGTGTTAGAAATTAAGCAGGTCATTAAAAACCTGCACGTATTAACTTTTATATGATTTGAAAGTTGGTCAAAATCCTGTGATTACTTAGTTTTCTAATTAAAAAATAAAAATAGAGAGTTATCGATCAAAATAAGAAATCGGATTCTAAAGTGACTCAACTTTTGAAAACGATTTCTTACAATCGGGATGAAATCTGCACCAATGTTAGTAGCTTAGACAATTTCAACAAGATCGGTCAAGAACTCTCTGAGTTACAGTAAGTCAAAGTTTGATATTTCAAAAAAAAAAGTCAAAAGAATTTTGAATTTTACAAAAAAAGTTAAATTTTTTTATTTTTTTATTTATTTTTACCAAAAAGATTGAAATATTGCACAGTGGCACTTTTAGTACATTCTAATTTTAGAAGTATGGACTTCATATAAGAGAACAACCTCACCAAAAAAGGGGCAGTTATATCATGTCCACGCCCACTTCTTATGTTAGTGCTAATTTTGGTATTCTAGAGTACAATAAAAAGCAATAACTTAAAAACAGAAAATCTAAATTGTGTAAATATCAAATTCCATATAGAAGTCATTCACTTTTGTACACATCATATTATTTTACCTATATTAATAACTAGAAAATTTTAATTTTGAAAGTGAAACTTTGCAGTCAAATTTCTCTTTGAGCGAACACTATATCGGATTTTTTTTTTTTTTTTGTTTTTAATGCTCCTGTCACTGTGTATTGATAAGAACAATAGGTAATAAGTTACATAGATGAGAGAAACACATGATTTGCAAAAATTTCAAACTTGGTATGAGTCCAATTTGTAACTATCCTTTGTATGATACAGTTAATTAGCAAAAAATTTTAAGCGTTATGTTATTGCATATTGAATGAGTTTGCGATATATTCGCGAATTATATTTTTTAGCAGATTAATTTTATTATTTTTAATATATTTTTTTTTTTTTTGGAAAGAGGACTCGTACCACTTTCAAAATTTACAGTTTCTATTATTAGTTAAAAAAAAATAAAACTTTAAAAATACCACAATTGTTAAAACTATTTATACGAAAATAACTTAATGTCAAACATAACGCAAAATAAACGCAACGACAATTGCAGCAAAAACAGTCATTACATTGACACCAACTCGGCTGGCAGGATTGCAGCCGATACCGTTACATTGTTTACACTCCCGTTTCATTGTGCTTGATGAAATGTAAGATGACAAAGGTAGTGTGCAACCATTTACATTGGCATAAATGCAATTCCTGTAATAATTTTCGTTAGTAGCTGGAAGAAAAAAATAATGAAATTAATACATTAATTTAATATGTATTTTCTATAAGCGCTTAGATATCTTACCAGTTTCGATGAATTCTTTAAAGCATTCGAAGAAGGGTGAAGTGGAGTTTTTATTTACGCCACTGTGAAATTGTTGCAGATAATTACGAGTATTACTTGCCAAATTGGAGTTGCAATCATATAGTTGTGGTTTTTTACAGGTCTCTTTGCTATTACAAACGAAGCATCTGAGCGAGTTGCCTGGAAGAAAAAGTAATTGATTTTGTATTGATAAGTAATAAGGGGAATAAAAGCTGAAACTATTTCAGCATATTATTAAGCAAATTATTCTAATATTGCAATTAAGAGTAAAACTGTAGAAATACTTAACTTTAAAGCTATGTTATATACGGATTTGTTTTGCATCACTTACCAAACAACTTCTTAGATGCTATATAATTTTACACAAACATTAAATGAAACTTACAAAAATTTTCCTTTTAAAACCAATTTGTTGTAAAATTTTTCAAACAATGCTCTTCTTTTTAATTAAAAATTTGTAGACAATATTTTTTTTTTTTATTTATTGAATTGACCCTATCCGCCATAGACTAAGTTCCCCTTCAGAAAATAACTTTAACCCTTACTACTGGCTTAAAATTATAACACGACAGCAATGAAATTCCAAATAAACAAGTTTTATACAAATCAAAATCTCTATGTCAAATTTTGTTAGAATTCGTCCATAATTGACCATATCGCCCATATAAGGTCCCCTGGTTTACTGACTTAAAATATGACTACAGCGATGAAATACGACACGGACAAGTTTTGTATTTTCGGAGGATCGATCAACAACTGACCTTAACTTACTCTAAAGCACATTACTGGCTTAAAAATACGTCTTCAGATTTGTAGGAACTTCAATCGAATTTCATGAGGATCAATCCATAATTGATCCTACCCCCTTAGAACCGCTATTATATATTATATATATATATATATATATATATATATATATATATATATATATATATATATATATAATATATATAATATATAATATATATATATATATATATATATATATATATAATATATAATAGCGGTATATATATATATATATATATATATATAAACTATAGTTATGAAAATTAAAAAAAAAATATTTTTTGTTTTAAATTTTTTTAATTTGGAGATGCTCGGTCCAGATTATCATATGTCCATAATTGTTTTCAAATAAAAAAAGTAAGAAATTATAGTCGGGCGAGGCCGACCAGTGATTTAGTTTTCATAATAAAGCATTTAAGTTGAATTGTACCTTGCCTCAGATGTACTTAAGCCATTTATTGTTGAATAAAATTGTGGACAATTAAGTCAAATTTTGAAGGGGGCTTTGTATAGGGGATATGGTCAAATGAGACCCTATAACTATAAAATTTTTGGTCATCAAGGCAGCTTTTTGTCGAGATACGAGTATATTAAACATAATTATGAACTTAAGAGCCCTATTCGGCGGGTTCAGTTGTATGGGGGCTAGGTAAAATAATGGACCGATCTTAACCATTTTCAATAGGCTTCGTCCCTGTGATAATAGAAGATCATGTACCAAATTTCATTGAATTATCTTCAAAATTGCGGAAGACAGACGGACGGACATAGCTAAACAGACTCAGAAAATTATTCTAAGCCGATTGGTATACTTTGAGGTGGGTATAGGACCAATATTAATGTACATTACAAACATCAGCAGAAACCCAATATACCCTCACCACTAAAGTGGTGTAGGGTATAATGAAGCTAGAGATTCATCGATTTTAAAACAACAATTTATTAAGTTTTCTTTGCATTCAATAAATATTTTAATTTTAAACTTAAATCTTTAATAATACCACAATAGTTAAAACTATTTACAATTTAATGCCAAACATAACGCAAAATAAATGCAGCGACAAGTGTAGCAAAAACAGTCATTACATCGACACCAACTCGGCTGGCAGGATTGCAGCCGTTACTGTTACATTGTTTACAGTCGTGTTTCTTGGTGGTTGATGAAATATAAGGTGACAAAGGTAGTGTGCAACCATTTGTATTGGCATAAACGCAATTTCTGTAATAATATTCGCCAGTAGCTGGAATAAAAAAAAATAATGAAATTAATGTACAGATTGCTTAATGTGTATTTTCTATAAGCGATTAGTAGATATCTTACTAGTTTTGATGTATTCTTTGAAACATTCGAAGAAGGGTGAGGTGGCATTTGGATTTAACCCACTGTGAAATTGGTGCAGATAAGTACGTGTATTATTTGCCAAACCGGAGTTGCAATCATATAATTGTGCTTTTTTACAGGTATCTTTGCTATTACAAACGAAGCATCTGAGCGAGTTGCCTGGAAGAAAAAATAATTGATTTTATATTGATTAGTAATAAATACTTAAGGGCTTAAAAATTGCTGCTATTTCAGCATATTATTAAGCAAATCATGCTTATATTGCAATTGAGAGTAAAACTGTAGAAATACTTAACTTAAAAGCTATTTGTTTTGCATCACACGGATTTGTTTTGCATCACTTACCAAATAACTTCTTAGATGCTATATAATTTTACAAACACATTAAATGTAACTTACAAAAATTGTCCAATTTGTTTAAAAAATTTTCAAACAACAGCCTTCTTTTTAATTAAAAATTTCTAGACAATATTTTTTTATTAAATTAATTTTTTTATTCATACACAGAAAAAACTGAAAAACGATTTCAATTACCAAAACCTCGTTTTCAATTATTTTATTTTTTGAAGTTCAACCTATAACAAAAATTGTATATTCAATTACTACTTATAATTGATTTCGTACACAAAATTTTTATTTTTTCTATTTTTGTTGTTGTTAAATACGTATTTGATTATACATTTTTATGAATCAAATACAAAATGAATTGAACCCTTTTAAAATTTTTGATTAATCGTTTAATTGCAAATTTTTTTAAATAAATTTTTTCTGTGTAGAAAGACCTTAATAAAAACTAAAAACTTATAGTCTTATCTATACAAACAATTTATAACAAAACCCATTACTATAGTGGCAATCAAAGTCATAAACTCAATTTGAATACGACCAGCTGGATTGCAACCATTTTTGTCGTTACATTGATAACATTCTTGTTTAGAATTCTCAAAAACATTGTCCAAAGGTAATTTACAACCTTCAATATTGTCATAAGTACAACCTTTGTAATAGTAATCTGTAGAGCCTGTAAAAAGTATAACAAAATTTTAGCATTTTTTAACCGTAAAAAAAGTGATCCTTAGTTAAAACTTACGAGTTTCGATATATTCTTGGAAACATTCATAAAATTGTGAAGTGGCATTTGTGCTAGCATCTTTGTGAAAGGCAAAAATATATGTTCGAGTTCTGTTGGCCAACTCTGGATTGCATTCTTTAAGTGGGGGTCTTTTGCAAGACTTCTTGTTATCACATACATAGCATTTAATTGAAAAGGCTGGTAATTGAGATTGGAATTTGGGTTAAATTAATGTGGCCAACAGCAGAAAGGAACATTTAAAACAAAAATTAGAATTTACAGTCAAAGACAAAAACAGTATATAATACAGATCATAAAACCAACTTAACCAATATTTTCATGATAATCACCGCTATTTAGCTGTAACGTTCGAAAAATTCAAGAAAAAATTTTTGTTTTTTAACAAATATTATTCTCAACAGTTTGTTTCATATTCTTCAATTTAAATACCTAAAGGTTCATTCCCCCTAGACTAAATACGATCCTAACTTTAAATTCAGATCTAATATTTGTAACCTGTCCGGCAACCATTCCAAATATGGACTAGGCTTTATATCGGGACTTGATCTACGTTTCCATAAAATGTATTTATCCTGAATTTCGTTGCGACATTACCTTTTTAAGCGAATTTTGGGCATTTAACTCATATTCTTAAGGGGTCTCCGTATGAGGGCTAGAGTCAAATGAAGCCGGATCATTAAAACAAATTCAAATTAAAACAATATAGTTTCTCAAATAAATAATAATCGGATAAGCATTTATAGCTTTTAATTTTTTATAAACTCATTTTATTGTTATATAACATTTCAATACCACACTCGACGTGCCACAAAACCAATAAAAATGGTAGCAAATACCGACATCAGCTCAATATTAACACGACCGGCTGGATTGCAGCCATTTTTATCACGGCATTGATGACATTCCTGTTTAAATTTGCTAGAGGTTAAGAATTCATTTAAAGGCAATTTGCAACCTTCGATATTGGAATAGGTACAACCTTTGTAATAGTATTTATTGGCGGCTGTAATAAATACAATAAAAATTAGACATTGAAAAACCTCATAGATAGATTTAATAAAAACAAACTTACAATTTTGAATGTATTCAGTAAAACAATCGTAAAATGGTGAAGTTGCACTGGCATTAACACCTTTGTGAAAGGCCGAAAGGTATGCCTGGGTATTTTGGGCCAACATGACATTGCATTCTAACTGTTTGGGATTTTTACAAGATTTCTTATCTTCACAAACGTAACACTTGATGGAAGAGCCTGGTAATTAAGAATTAAATTTGAAATTGAATTTTTTACGTTTGAAGCCAACACCAGAAATAGATTGAAAATGTAACCAAACGGACAAAAGCTGCATACAAACCCATGGGGTAAAAGTGTTATATTCGACTATGCCGAATCTTATATACCCATCATTAAACCGTATGTCGTAAATGAAATGCCCCCTATAAACATTAGGTTGATATTTGAAATCACACATCCCTTTCGGATTAACAAAATAATAATTTTTCAAAAAAAATATTTTTGTCCAACTTTTAAAACATGAACATATATGGGCGGTCAATCGGGGTCAATTATAAAATTCGGTAGAGAGATTTTGGATTGAAAAAGAAGTAGAATTTACTCCATGGAAGTACTGAAAAAGTCCTGAAGAAGTGATGATTTTAACATAGGATTGTCATAGGAGAGATGCCCTTTTTATTTGATTCCAAATTCACTACTTCTGAAGTCATTCGCAAGAAGTAATTTTAATGCTCTTTTTTTAAAAGTTGTTCGGAAGTGCAATTGTAGTACATATTATAGAATACAACTAATTTGACTTAAATAATATTAACATTACTTAGACTAATAGAAACATTTAATGCAATAGTCCAAATATAAAATTTTTTTCTGATAAAAATGTAAGAACCAAAAATATAACCAACGTATTTTTAAGCCAGTAA